TCCAGCGGATATTCTCCAAAATGGCACCAGGGTGATGCGGAGGAGACGAATTGTTGAATAAAGTCGTTTTTTTTTTCTTTTGCGCACAAAGTATTCTCGTAGCTTCATATAATTGCGAATGAACCACTGTTACATGGATTATTTTACAGATCTCCTTGCTATGTTTCTGGACTTGGGAACATTTCAGTTGTATTGCTGTCTATGCAGGGTCAGACAGCTCTCAGATTCCATCAAAAATATCTTAATTTGTGTTCCGAAGATGAACGAAGGTCTTACGGGTTTGAAACGACATGAGGGTGAGTAATTAATGACAGAATTTTCATTTTCGGGTGAATGATACCTTTAAAGCATAGTTCACTCAAAAATGAAAGTTGTCTTTGTTTACTCACCCTAATTGTCATTCCAAACCATATGATTGACTTTCTTTTGAGGAACACAAAAGACGACAATTTATGGACAAAAAAAAAAACAAACTTCAAATTATCTTTGTTCCACAGAAGGTCAGAAAAATAAATGACACTTATTTTTGGGTGAACTATCCCTTTAACTAATTCCCCACCCGTGCTAGGAGACATGCTCAAGGAAAATGTGTTAGTTTGATGAAGCGACTGGGAATGGCACTACTAGACTACACGATAACAGTAATGGTTAGATGACACAGACTCTGACCAGCCTCGACCACTGGGCCATAACATCAAAACAAATACAGGCCTTTACACACCCATAAACACTTTGATTCACTCTGTGTCAGACAAAAAAGCCTAATATCCATTTTCTGCCAATCATACATGGTTCAACAGCAGCCGACTGAATAAACAAATCTACACTCAGCTACTATATTTGTCTAAGTGGAAACATCATTGCTCTTGCGGCTCCACCTCTCGTTGCTGCTCGTCTCTACGGCAAGTGATCGAGGCCAGCCTCTAAGCCTGGTGATCAGGATGATGGAGTATAGGAACAGCGCAGAGAGGGGCGACGGTGGGTGTTTAATGAACGAGTTCGGGAGAGTGGGGGACAGTGGGGTGGAGAGCAGATGGCAGGGCACTTACAGATCGGCCGTAGGGTGACAGGCTGAGCCCGACGGGCGAGGTGCTGTGCAGGTCAGCGCTAACGAACGCTGCAGGTGGCGACGCCGGCAAGGTAAACTCGACAAAACCTTTCCAGGGACTACCCATAATTCTCCCATACACAGTGGCCAAATCTACTACACCTGGGATTGATCGGATTAAGCAGTTTTCTGAGTATTGGTTTTATTTAAAGTCAGCCATTGTGTTGCAGCTCCTCCTACATCATACATATTAGAGATCTGTGTTTGAGTAAACAATGAGTGAATTAAAGCTGTGCTAGATTTTAATTAATTCATTTTGAATACGACAAACAAGAAAATGAAGGGGGGGGGGGACTGCAGTAC